TTTGAACACAGGTTTAAAATCTTAAATGCTCTTCTCAGCTTCATAGCCAGAGGCAGAACCCCACAGCCCCGCGTGACTGTAACACACATCATCCTGTTGTATCGACAGTTCTGTGCCCGTGGCCTCTTACCTGGGAATCAATCAGTTAAGTTCCAACCAGAAGTTCTGGTACAGGCCACGCACACCCTCGCCTCTCCGTTTAAGTAAATGTATCTTACGCGGGCTATGACCCTGTTACTAAACGGCGCCACAGTCATGATGCACCGAAGAATTACATGCGCTTGTGAGCCTCAACTCTTCGTTTTCTAGGACGGTGCAGGAGGGGGTGGTGTGCGTAAGAGAAAAATCAGTGTTTGTCAACATGTTACTTTGTCAGTTGGGAGGAACTTGAGGCCACCTGGTTTATCCAGCCCCTGCTAGCGGGTGTCGAGCCCCAGACGGGATTCGGGCCAGACTGGCAAAACCTCGACCCTCAGCTTGACCTGCTGGGAGCAGGTCGTACGCTCAGGGGATGCCCAGCACGGTTTGTGACCACTTCTTCCGGAACTTGGAAAGCAGATGAGCTGGATTCAAAATGAGCTGTTTTCTCAGAACCATTAGGGGGCCACGCAGAGCGAGCTAGTTTGCAAAAGTCAGTCGTAGACTCAGAGCGTCCCGTCCATGATCAGAGCCTCCATGCTGGCCCACAGAGTCGCGCACAACCTCGCCACGTACCCACGTAGCACCGTAGCGGCACCTGGCTCACGGTCTCCCTTCTTCCCTCCAGCCCCAGGCCCACCCGTGAGGCTCGTGTTTCCTGAAGTGAGACTCACGTCCGTGCGGATCGTGTGGCAGCCGCCGGAGGAGCCCAACGGCATCATCCTGGGTGAGGGAGCGGCCGCGAGGTACCAGGTCGTAGCTCAGAGGGAAACAGCAGTTGGATTGATTTCATCTGGTTTTTTTACACATCAAAGAGGTTGGGGGGAAAAACAAAGTCCTGCCCGCCGTGGCCACGCGTTTTCCGAGCTGAGAAACATGGGACCCTCGGCTGCTCTGTGAGCTGAGCTCTGAGGTTTCCTTGCAGGTGGGAATTTCTACGTTGTTCACCCAGAACCTCTTCCTTTCGTTCGCGGTTCACAACAGTACCGTGTGTAATTGGCCTTTCCTTCAGCTCCGAAGCCACGAGGCTGTTTCCATGTGTGTTTGGGATACAACAGGCTCATTTTTCACGGGAGCCAGAGGCCTGGCCTTGGCTCCCAAGTTCCAGGAAACATCCCCTGCTGCAGGGCTTGCACCTAATCCTTTGAAGAAGTTTCCGGAGTGAATTGTGTGTGCCCTCGTCCCCCGGAAATTTGTTTGCTTTTAACTTTTAGCAGGGCAACTCTGATAACATTGATGAAAAGCCTTAATTTTTCCTTGTTCCCCCAAGGCAGCAAGTTGTATTTTTAAATTTTTTTTTCAACGTTTTTTATTTATTTTTGGGACAGAGAGAGACAGAGCATGAACGGGGGAGGGGCAGAGAGAGAGGGAGACACAGAATCGGAAACAGGCTCCAGGCTCTGAGCCATCAGCCCAGAGCCCGACGCGGGGCTCGAACTCACGGACCGCGAGATCGTGACCTGGCTGAAGTTGGACGCTTAACCGACTGCGCCACCCAGGCGCCCCACAAGTTGTATTTTTAAAAAAATCATCAGTCCCTTTATTTATTCACGTTCTCGCCATGACGAATTAAGGGCCTCCTATATGCCTGGCGTCGTGTCCGTGGTGGGCAGTAAGGAGTGAATAAGATACGCCCATCCTCAAGATGTGAAGTGCTCAGGGCAGCACCGGGGAGGGGCCCAAATGCAGTGCAACATGATAGGTGATGGGACACAGATTCGAGAAATGCCCCAAAGCACGTCTTCCCGGGGCGAGGGGCTCTCG